AAATTAATATTCAAAATTTTATTAAAAAATTTAAATATTAAAAAAATTAGTAAAAATCTTCGCAGGCAAATTTGTCTATATTACAATTTAAGGGATATGTTTTTGAAAATAAGCAACTTCCAAAAGAAGCTACACCCTTTTCTTTTGAAGAGAAAACCTTTGTTCTAAAAATTAGCTATTCTCTATTAGCTACAAGTAGTTGCTACATATAAAAGTCAAAATTCTACTAAGTAAATTGACAAAAGTCACTTAATAGCAATTGTTTAGGAAATAAAAATACACCTATTCTAAAAGTTTTATACAAATCAAAGAACTTTTTACTAAGATGTTTTTGCATTTTACGTTTGAATATAAAATGCAAAAATATCCTAGTAAAAGGTTCTCTGATTTGTATAAAACTTTCAGGATAGATATATTTTTACCTCCTGAACAATTGCTATTAAGTAACTTTGTCGATTTACTTAGTAGAATGTCAACTTTTATATGTAGCAACTACTTGTAGCTAATAAAAAATTAATAAAAATTAATAAAAATTAATTATACTTAAAAATAAACTATCTATGATTTTTGTATAACTTTTTGGCCAAAAAGATAGCTTATTTTCAAAAACCTATTATAACTTAATAATTTAAATAGATAAATTTTACAATTATATAATGGTTTTTAATATATAAATGAAGTTCTGCTAAAAAACACAGCTTTCAAATTTCAAAAAAACAATTTAGTATATTAAAAAATATTGCAAATGATCGTGAAATTGGATGATTATGAAATCTAAAAATCTTAATTTAAAAATATAAACCTTACTAAAACCCAAACTATACTCTTTTATTATAAACTCTAACTCTAAATCCTAGCCCAAATCCAAAAAAAAAACTAAAAAAATATACTCTAAAAATTTTTAAAAATTGTATATTAAATAGGGTTTTATTTTACAATCATCCATGCCAAAAAATATAATATATAAGACCTTTGCAGTAAAAAGGGTAAATATATCAATATATATAATTTTGAATTTAATTACTTGTTTTGATTTTCAGGCTAATTTAGGTTAATCAAATTTACAATTTTGATTGGCTAAAGATAATATATAACTAACAGATAATCTCATGATGTGCCTTCATATAACTTTCTTTTACATTATATCATCAGAAAACTAAATATAGTGCAGATCTGCACAGATCTGTAACCTTGAAAATTTTTAACAAATTTCATGATATCTCATAATATATCGATCAGAATTTAACAAATTCAGTACTATTCAAACCATCTTGATGAGACAAATCGAATAGTACTAAATTCATTAAAATTTGATCACTGAATCATGAGATAATTGCATTTAAATAAATTTTGCAGCCACTTCATGATCTTGTTAACCAGTGGTCTAAATTTAATGATTTTGATATCATTTGATTTCTCTCAATAAAATGGTTTGAATGGTACCAAAAACAGTAAAATCAAATCACTGGTTTGTGAGATATTCACAGAATATATTTTGCAGTGCAGTTTTGTGCAGATCTGCACAAAAAATTCACAGATCTGTGCAAAACTGCATCACAAAATGTATTCTGTGAATATCTTGTGATCTAGTAATTCAATTTTAACATTTTTGGTACCATTTGAACCATCTCACCAAGAGGAATTGAATGGTACCAAAATCATTAAATTCAGACTACTGGTTAACAAAATTGTGAGGTGGCTGCAAAATTCACTTAAATATAATTATCTCATGATCTAGTAATCGAACTTTAATGAATTTAGTTCATCTCATTGAGATGGTTCAAATGATACCAGATTTGTTAAGTTCTGATCAATAGATTATAAGATATTGTGAAATTTATTAAAAATTTCTAGAGTCGCAGATTTGTACAGATCTGTACTATATTTATTTTCCCAATAATAGCTTGATTTTTTATTATACAAATTGATATTCATTTATAATTGAAAAATGTTGATTACATTAAAATTTACTATAATTCAATAAAAACTTATTTTTTAATTTTGGGGTTGTATCTGCCCTTTCTACTACAAAACCCTATATATATTTATTTTTTGTAAAATATTTGATTTAATATTTTTGTCTAAATATAATTTGTATATTGTAAGAATTTGATTGTGTATTATAGTATAATAAACAAGAACAAATTTAAAACTTGCTTCAAATTTAATCTTATAAAACTTATTTATAATTCTAAAAAATTAATTTGTTATTACTAAAAAAAAACATAAAATTTCAAAGTAAAAGCATATAATTATTTTGTTAGAAAATATATCTTTTTTATTTTTCACAATTACAATAAGTTTTAGATAGAATCAAGTTTAGTATAAGAAACCCCACTAATAAAATTGATTAAAATTGATTATTAATCAATTGAATTTAGAGTAGGGTCCTTTATATTAAACTTGATCCTTTAGAATGTATAAAAAAAAACAATTCTTGACTATTAAAAAAGATTTTTTTAAAAAAAATATATACTAAATGAATATATGAGTGCCGCCAAGGGAAAACCTGTCATTTGGCTTTCATTATTCGGTTGTTTTCTGAATGCCATCTAGGAATAGTCTATTATTGGCTTTCAATTATATTTTGAAAAAATATAATTTAAAGCCCGATGATAGATTTTCTCTAGACGGTACATGGGAAACAAACTGACCCGATGACAGGTTTTTTCTTGGCGGCACTCATATTATATTAAACGTATAACGATAAGTATATAGTATTATATAATATTAGCTGATATACATACGTCATCAGAAGTCATATTGCAATCAACATCCTCTGGTCGATTAACTGCTTATAATCAGGTTTCAAAATCTCCTGATAAACTTGGTTCGACATGTCTAACGTAAGCACTGAGTGATTTATGTGTAACTTATTCGGTCACCTCCTAACGCTAATTCACCTCGTACGTACGTACGTGAGTGAAATTGTATTAAGAGGTGACCGAATAAGTTACATGGTGATCACATAGGATGTGCCCGATAATTTCTATTTACACCCTCGTTAATATCAACCCATTTAGATCGCTTTTATATTCATGTTAATAGTGTTATTAATGAGGGATCATATTTAAAGTTGATATATTAACGAGGGTCAACTATATTATAATTCATCTCTTTCAATGTGATAAGCTGATCGTCTATGATTTATGATAAAAAAAAAGGCCATCTTTTTTTTCATCGCGATGAACTGGCTAAATTATTAAAAATTGAGCACCGATATTAATTTAGGTGCTTGAGAAACCCTAAATCTCAACTACTGGATTCTTAATTAGAATAATATAAACTAATAAAAATCTTATAATAAAACTATCAAAGTTTAAATTGTCCGAATATTTATATACTGTATCTCCATTTATCACATTAAAATTACCCTATTGGTTTCACAAAATTTTGCAAACCGAGATAAATTCAAAATTAATATGTATATATTTCAATAATTCACGTAAATTGTTATGTAGTAAACAAGTAAATATTTAATTTCTATACGAGATTTTTTTAATTATCTCTTATTTAGTCCTAAATTAATCAAAGTAAATAAAAACAATTAAATATGGTAAAAATCAAATAATGTTCCTATAATAATCACTGAATCGAAATGAATAATCGTATACTCCAATATAAATTTAATCATTCTAAATTTTTCATATGAATTGTGAATCTTCTACAATTTAACTAAGTAGAATATTGATATGACACAACACCTTTTTGTGTCTAACCAGAAGTAACAATAGAATACCCATTATCATAAAAATAACAAAAATAAATATTTCCGCTACAAAATAATATTTAAAAGAGAAATTTTGTTCACCTATGTTTTGTCTTAAATGTTAAACCTACAAAGTGATAGTGTATATTACGAGTTTTGAAAGGAACTTAACATCTCTTTTATAAAAATGAATTGAGAACGATTGATATATTTTATTAGACTATAAAAAAAATTATTAAAAGGTTTCGTCATCGTATCCTGCTTCTTGTTCAGGAGGGACTTCAAAACCATCCTAAAATTTTGAAAAAATGGTTATTTAATAATTTGCGCAAAATAAGTTCGAGATCATAGTAGTATTAACTGTTGGCATACCTCTGTACTATAAAGAATAGCTTGAATATCCTTCAATAATTGATTGTCGGGTTCAATATCAATTCGCTGTTGAACCATGATTTCGATATCACGAAGTTTACCGAAATAAAAGTCACGTTCTTTTTCGAGGCCATCTATGGTTTGTTTAAGTTCTAGATTTTCCTTACTTAATTCATTCAATTGGCCACTGTCATGTAGGCCTGAAGTTGGAACACGGCCTTTATTAATAGAATCAAAAAGAAAACAAAATCAAGTCAGTAAAGAGTCGATAAAGTGTTACTATGTCAAACTAGAGTAACCTACCGACTGAAGAAGTGGGCGTTGTCCTTTTTTGCATTGTTCGAGCGACGCCACCACCGGAAACTGTTTTCATCGGTCCAGCAGTAGTGTTACGTCTTGCAGCAGCGTCATATGGTCCACCAGGATAATAAGTATCCCAATACCTTTTCATCCATTGCAAAAATTCAAGATTATCTTGAAATTTACATTTGACGAGACGTTCGACTGGAATAGTCTAAAATAATGTCATGATTATTTAATAGGAATAAAGGCATTGAATCTAAATGAAATCCCAATTTTTCAACCAAAGATAAAATCATACACACTTTGTCAACTTTGTGTTTGTCAAAGGCCGACTGCAACACTTTGTAGTTAGCAACGTATTCATATTCATGTTTTGCTACGAACTTGACTTTGTTCATCTGTACATCGCCTATATAATTATTAATCAAGTTAAATCGACTGATTGTATAAAATTTCCGAGATCCAAGAAAAACTTTACCGTATACGGAATCAATGATTTGGCAGTAGGCAGCACCTATTATAAGAAGCAATAAAGTTTGTTAGAAAAGGTTTAAAGTTAAGTATAAAAATCTAGAGCGGCGAAAAACGTCTCCTCGCAAGACACGACGTAAACGCGAATCATTTTTTTACCCGTTCCACATTGCTCGACTTTTGTATAGCTGATTTGTAACAAGTCGTTCAGCCACGCGAGTAGTTCAGTCCGTGATTCGCTCATAGTTTATGACAATATCAACTGGGTGATTCTGAGATGAAAAAAAAAAAAAAAAAAATTAACGAAGGAGATAGGTGAAATAGTTTACGGATTTATGGCCAACTCTGCAGATACTTTATTGATTTATATGTTGTGTTACAAAAAATCTAGACAATATCAAACCAGTTAGAAAAAAGACACCTTTAATGCATGCCAGATTTATCATCGTTTAATATTCACACACATAGTGTTCTCTTCCTTCCTCACCAATGAAATTGCTATGAATAATAATTTTTCAAAGCAGCCCACAAAAAATCACATGATCAGAATGCCTGTCTTCAAAGACGTAATCATCTATCTGTTAAGTCTTTCTAGGTAAGTGGCAATTTCTATTATCCATACAGGTTATAACCTGGAATACATTTTAGTTGACCCTATTCATGCATGCGAAAATTAAGAAATTGTTATTTTCGTTCCCATGTTTGTTGTCTTTTCGTTAAGTAGGGATGGTAAAGTTATTAGATTTAGAATTTTGTTTTTTAAAAAATTAGTTTCCAATTTTGAAAAACTAATTAGTATAACAATACTAAACCTATCAGAGTACCGGTACTTAATGCATTTGTTTATATTTTACAGTATATTTTGAATCAAAATTTTGTTTTTACATATTTATTATATACTATATATATAGTTATTTTTTTAAACTACGTACTATTGTTGAACTTTCAAATTGGTATGACGTTAGATTATTCTATCTTAACAATCCTGATTATAAGTTCTCAGTTTGGAGATCACAGAACCGCCGAACTTTTGCGCCATCACTTTAACGACCAAATTTGAAAGTTTTTAATAAGCAGTTTAAAAATGTAGGGGCATGTATAACGGACATTTTTCCGACTAACCTATATAACGGATTTAATATTGCATTGACTGATGACCACTCAGAGCGCGGTTCTATGACTGCAACTTACTAACGACTATTAAAAATAAATCGCCTAATAGGTTTATGGCGGAATTCAAATATTTGTTCTATTTCTTTATATAGATACTGTAAATATAACAACTATGCTATAAAGCTAAATTTTTTAGGCCAGCCAAAATTTTTAAATAATTATAATTGATTAATAAAATAAATATTATATACTATATATATTAAATAATAATTTTGGTTTCTAAATACTTTGGTTTAGCATATAAAAATATATTAACAGTATAAAAAAATATTATTAGTGGATATCAATAAAATAAAATACAATCAATTTCGAACACCTCTATCAAGAATGCACCTACTTCTAAATACTTGTTAATTGATTTTTTTTATTCGGGGTGGGTACGTTTTCATAGCTAAACCTGTAATCAAAATTTCAAGACTTTTATAATCTCTTGAACCAAACTTTTTATAAAACTAATCTACAAATATTATATAGTTAGTATGCTAAATAACAATAGATTCTTAAGTAGGAGATTGACTAATCAGACTGCCAATTCAAAAAACCAGAAACTAATAAAGTTGTTCTAGTATATACCAACTGAGTTACCAGCTTGGAACCTTTATATTTACTAGCAAAACCTCAAACTATAAAAAACAAATTGCTTTTATAAAAAATTAAATCAACAAGATAAGGGTGTGGTGGCTTAGTGAAGTGGTCTAGTCATCATCCCACCAAGTAGCAGGTCTAGTATTTGAATCCCATAAACAACACTTTCGAATATTGTGCTGTATTATAGTTAACAACTATTTCAAAAATGGGTTGGATCTAGAATCTGTAATTTTAGATAACATCATCTAGAATAGGAAGTGAGCTACTACAAAGAGGTAGAGCATAGGCCCTGTATCTGTATACAGATTAGGTAGAGGAATGCATTCCAGTAATTATTAGATGCAAACTTAGAATAAGTCAATGCCATATAAATCCTAGAAAGTAGAAACTTTTGACAATATTGCAGAATGAAACTTGGATGGTACCAGTTCTGGGATATTGAATCTCTTGATTTAAGAGGTTGACCAGGGTGGCTACCAGAGTCGTACTAAAGGAAAAAAATATATGTTATTAAATTATTTAGAGTTTTGGAGCACTTAAAGCAAGGATAAACTCATCTTGTTTCAGATTAATTAACTAGAATCAAATATTAAGCCAGAAAGAAAAACCTAAAAGAAAAGTAAAGTAGGCATTAAGGTGGATGTGAATCTTATAAAAGCAGAAGATATGTAGAGGTAACACTTAAGTGCTAACTTAGATTTAAGGGTAGAATGAACATAAATTAATTTTTATATAATTTATATAGTATAACAAAATTTTATATAGAAAGCTAAAATATACTTCTAATAAAACTTTTTAGAGTTATAGCCAATATCTACTAAAATTTCATGATATATAATTTAATGTTTTATATTTGTTATAATAAAATTTTAAACTCTGTATTATTTATTTTTTTTTTTTAATATTAAGGTGATCACTTAGGCTCTTGGCACTTTATTAGCTCAAGCAAGTAGGCCAGTATTAGTTATTTTAATACCGGCTTTATATATTACAAGAGTATAACTAGTCACACGTACAACTTTTGATTGTCTAATTAAATAGTTTGCCCGAAGCATTAGTGCTATGCTAGGGGTTCTACACTAGCTATCATACCTATAGCCTAACTAGGAAGCTATCTATTTAAACTTTCTAGATTTAACCAACATCATATGTTTCCTCCTAATATACCCCTTCACAAGGTAATTTACCGTTAAAGACCCTAAGACTTTAGCCACCAACCTAATTTGAAAGACATTTATCCTTGTGGTAAACCTAACAGAGTGGTGCATGTCCTACACATATACTTACCTGTATGTTTGGTAACTTCTTCCTAACTAGTATCTGTTGTACTGCCACTACCGGGTTTGTATCTCAAGCCAACTTTTGGGGTGCTGCTATAACCCGATCTATATCTTAAGCACAACTTTCCTAATTAGTCACCAATTACGTATTTTTGCCCTTATAGAGTTTACAACAACCCCGGTACCTACATTCTAGCCACCTTCTTACCCGGATTCTTTATCGGTCCCTCTCTTACTTCCAGTTAGCAACTTAGATGAGTTGGTCTGCCTGGAGTGTATAACCTTTTCCTCTGGTATAACAACCCAGCAGTTTGGCTGGTGTGTCCTCCACTAGCAGACCTAGTCGCTTGGTTCTCTGATTTCAGGCCCCGGTTCGAATTCAGCCTTCTTGTGATACCGTCAAAGATCACTGCTACTCCCAATTCGGAACTTCCCAAATAGTTTTTAGTTATACTGGTTTTTCAGATTTATTGCACCAAAGCTTCTATTATGAGATAGTGTAATTGAAGTTACAGATTTAGTTCTAGATCCAACCAATAAGCATAGCCATTAACCGAAATACAAGCCTATTTTTCAAATATCGTCATCTGTGGGATTTGAACTCTAGACCTGCCACTTGGAGAGAATGACAACTAAACTACTACACTAAGTCGCCACACTTCAACTCTGTATTATTTAAAAAAATTTATCATTATATATTAGTAAAAAAACTTAGATTAACTCAAATTTCTTTAGATTATACAAAAATTGCCAATTCTGATTGGCCAAATCAATATTGTTTACAATCCTGATTGGCTGATCACCTGATTTCATATGATTACAATGTAATTACTATTAAAAATAATCTCTATTTACCCTACTCTTAAAGGTATAATATTTCTGATACCTAATTTAGAATATGGGGTTCCACACAGCAAAACGGTGTAATGGGTCAACCAATCAAATTTTGAGATTTTGTAATAATAATCTGCTTATATATTTTATCTTTCTAAAAATAGTTTTAATTTGGAAAATATGCTAATAAAAAGTGTATAAATTTAAATTATTTTTTCATAATTGTTGTATTAAAATTAATTATATAATAATTTTTAATTGCGATTTTCTCAAAATCACATAATTGTCTCATTATACTGTTTTGCTGTGGTTGATCTATATATAGAATACAGAAAAGTTGGAGTAGGCATATGTAACTAATATCCATTTTAGATAAAACAAAAGGTTTTAGGCTAAAAACTTATCAATCTATAAATAATATGCAGTTAAGTATAAATATTATGAGATAAACACTATAAGACAAAAATCATATTTGATTGGCTGCTAACTATATAGATCTATATTACATATCATTACTGTTATATGTATATATATACGTATATCAGATAACTAATAAGCAATTCTTTATATACAAACCTTAGCCTGATCAGTTCTGCTTCTTTTTCACTTACAAATAAAATAAACTTCTTTTTTACAATTAATAAAACCTTCTGCAAATGTGCCATGATGGCTTGATACTTCAGAAATTCAATTTTTATTATCATTAGTATTTTATATTGATATATATACACATTTTAATTATACAATTATTTAATAAATAGTCTTTCCATATTGATATAAATAATATAAATAATAAAGATATTTCTTATCGCAATTTTAAAAATATAAAATTTGTTACAAGTTTGTATTAAACAATAACAAATTAAAAAATTTAATATTCATATAATAAATATAAAATTTAGAACTCAAAATTATTCAATATATCTATTTTTCAAAAATTTATTTTTTATTTTTTTTTGGTATTAAGGTGACCTCATTGGCCTGGGGACTTTTTATTAGAGTATAGATGATGTTTTATAGTATAATTACAATAATAGTATATCAAGCCACACGTGCACTTTTGGTGCTTAATTTAAATAGTCCACCTGAAACATTAGTGCTATGTTAAGGGTTTCATACTATCTTGCTGTACCTGCACCCCAACTACGGAGGTACCCATTTAAACTATCTGGTTCTAACTACTATCATCAGCTCTCTAATCCATGGATATTACTCACTATTCATACATAGATTTTGCTTCTACCCAATTTAGATTTTGCATTCTACCTTAGAACTTACTAATTTAAGCTAGTCTATCCTTGAGGTAAATTTAATAGAGCGGTACATGTCTCACTGGGGTGGCAGATCACCTAATAAAATCAAATATATG